ACATAGTCCAAACAATCACATAAGAAGCAATAAGAATCGTGGTGTGGTAGCTTTAACTCGTTTTTTGTAAAGTAAATTTTTCTCCCAAGAAATCACCTATGGTTTTTATGCCAACCAATAGAGAGAGGGAGGGTGGTTTTTCTCTTATTGGGAAAGATACACTCTTTTTCTTTTTTCTATTATGTTATCGTCTCTCTCTTCGTTCTCTATTTATAGGGATAACAACAAATCCCTCTTAGGAAAAAAAATTGTTACCTATATAGGCTTATCTAACCTTATCCATGTAAACCCTAGACCTTATCCATTAGTGCTTAAGATTATCCATCTCCCAAAACCATCTTACGAGCTTTTTAATTAATCCATTGGTCCAAACCCCTTTGGCTTAATTAATTACCAATTAATTTAGATCATCTAAATAAATTAGAATAGCTATATTTAGGGAGGCCATATTAGGAAACATTTTTTCAAGTTACCCTTAAACCTAAATTAGAAAACTGATTTCCATTTTAGGTAATTGACTTTCAAATTTGGAAACTAGTTTCTAAATTAGGAAGCGATTACTAAAATAGGAAAGTGATTTCCATTTTAGGAACTTTTTCAAAATATAAAACCTTTTTTAAAACCTTTGCTTTTTCTATTATCGTGTGAATGTTTGAACTTATGCACATAACTCAATAGACTCTTAGATATATGGATAATATATCAAGAAGATAAAAGATACCTCTTTTATCTTTTAGTACATAGATCAAAATTAGTCTTTAGTAAGACATCATGACTATCTAATTTTCTAGGAGGATTAATTAATTCATAATTAACTTTCATGACTATGGTTTCTATACAATTTAGTCCTTATGTCAATTTATCATAGTATGATCTCAAACTTGGTTTATAGTTTGTTTCATTATAATCACACAAGTTTTTTTATCTTCAAATGTCTTAGCTCTAAAGTAAATCAATTATGCTCTATTGATATACTTTCACCGTGGCTACTGATTCTTGAGCAAACATTCATCGAAGTGCAATGTGATAATTCATTTAGCATATAAGGAGTGGCATGTCTTAACTCGGTCATCCACCTATCTCTATTGGATTCCTAATGTACCAACTAATTGCCCACAAGCAACTCTTTACTATGCCCACCAAAACAAATGTCAAAGTACACCAATCATCTAATGAGATAAGCTGAGATGGCTTCATGTCAAAGGACTATTTGTACCCAACTTGTATGAGATTCCAATAGACATTACCAATTGGGTTCTCATGGTGAGTCATGTTTAGTTCTCTAATATTATTCACCCGAGTGCTTGTTTAGGCATCACCGTGTTAGTAGGTGTGAGATCTCCCACTACTATCTTATAGCAAGAACATAGCACTCACAAGTCTTATCGCATATTATTTATGTCTAATCTTGACAATCCTACAACTTGAGATATTTAATGATATCATTTAAATATATTGATATTTGTCTCGTATCTATTAATCAATTATTAATATAATACATATCATGTGGACTTCTATCTAATTCTATCAAATTATAAATAATAAAAATTAATAAAAATTTTTTTTTAATAATATTAAAATACAATGATACAATACATCAAACCATCCAAATAAGTTGGATTTAGAGCTCCTATACTAACAAAAAATAAACAAAAGAGATATAAATAAAGCAAGATTAAACCTATGGTCTAACTTTACTCCCTAATGGAGTCATCATTTTGTTGTTATCGACTCTCGCGAGACTCTCAAAATTTATGATTTGATTGTTTATTTAGAGATATGAGTTATTATTAATTTTAGAGTCACCAACTAGTATTGAAGGTAACTAGAAATCTAAAATGGACACTAGTTCAAAGATTCTAAGGTAAGGAATTAGTTATGCTTTTGGAAAGATATCAATCACCTAAAAACATCATTTTCTAGAAAGGTACCAAGTCCGATTTAGTTCTAAAAAATTCTGTTTTTTCCAAAATTAATCCAAAGTATGAATTCTAAGTTTTATTTCCTAAACCAAGTTAATTTTTTTTTAATTTGTGGCATCATATTGAATCGATTGTCAAACCACATCATCGAGAATCTCATCAATTCTATATCAAATTCGATTTAAGTGTAGACATAACCTATATATCGGAGAATAACCTAATTACTAAAATGTGATTGATTTAAGTTAACATTAGTCTCTATTAAATAGGAGACTTTGTTAATTTTCTCTAAATATTTTTTGCATTTTTCTTTTGTTTTTTTTTTTTAATTTTCTACTAGTTTCTCTCTCTCTCTCTCTTCTTTTTCTTTTTTCTTTTTTTTATCTTCGTTTCTTTTTTTTTCTTTGTTCTTTTTTATCATTTATTATTATTTTTTCTTTTTATCATTTTTTTGTTGATGGAGAGTTGTAATTAATTCCTAAAAATTAGGAGACTCGATAACTCATCCACTTGTTAATTATCTAATCTAATTATCGAAATAAAACCTAAAATTAAAAATTAATTAAATAAATAAATATAAGAACTCGAAATTCAAAGAATTAAATCTAAGACTAGGCATAAAAACAGAAGACAAACATTAAAATTTCAAAACTAATTTATCAAGGAAAATGACTAAATTAGGGGTATTGGAGCTGAACCACTAGACTAGCCGAGTTTGGTTGGCTTTGCCTATTTCTTTCTTTTGGTCTTAGGCTAAGCTAAGCTTAGCCCAAGCTCGATCGTGCATGGGTTGGGCCAAAGCTCAGCCCATTTAGGCTTACACATGCTTCTTCCACTTCCTAAACCAAAACCTAACTCAACAATAGATTTCTTAAACCAATCCTAATTCTTCCCGAACCAAAACACCCGAGCTTATCATGTAACTTCCATCAAGATTAAACGATCTCTTCTCCTTCCTCAAACAAAATAAAATCGTACACTTTTTGGCTAGAAAGCCTCATGATTTCCTCTTCCTCATCTCAAACCAAAGTACCTTAGGTTTTGCGTCTTACCTCGATCCAATTTATCTTCTCTCTCTCACTCAATCGATCCACTTAAATCCGTAATCTATCTCATCTCTTATGTTCTTCTCTTAGACGGACTAAACCCTTAACCAATTTCTTTCTTTCATCTTATAGATCCCAAATCCTAGATTTATTTATTACCTCAATTTTCAATCAAAACTTGAAATTGAACAAGAAAACCTAAAATTGAGCCTCCACGTAACCTTGAATCCCTCTTTTCTCTTCCATCTTACAAATCCCTAAAACCTAAGTCACATCCATTGTCCCAATCTAGCCCCAAATCGTAAGCCTAAACCCAGAATCAAATGAGTAACCCTAAAATATAACCTTTATGAGTCATCAAAACCCTTATCTCACCTTACCCTCAAAACATCAAATACAACAATGAGAGAAATTAAAAATAGGAAGGGTTTTGTGTGATGGAAGTGATGAATATCACTATCATCATTCATTTTGGAACTACTAGAGGCTATATTAATGCAATTAGAACTACAAATAAAGGATAAATCTTACCTAGGTGTTCGGCGAGGGAGCCTAAATCAAGGATGGGTTATGGTATTGGTGATTACGACTTTGATGGGTAAGAAGGTGTTCTCGCGAGAAAAACTCAAAAGCAAAATTAGAATATGTTTGCCTTTCTCCTCTTGTTTTTTTTTTTTTTTTTACTTTTACTATTCTCGCTCTACGGTCTCTCTTTCCCTTCTTTCAATTTTATAGATTCTCCATAATTCCTCTCTTTGTTACTCTTATTGTTCTCAATTGTTCTTGCTTTTCCTCTCTCTATTGCTTTTGCTCTCAATTATTCCTTTATATTCCTCTTGCCTTCAATTGTTTCTCTTCTTTGCTCTCAATCATTCCTCCTCGCTCTCAATTATTTCTCTTCTTTCCTCCCTCTTTCTTTGAAATTTTCTCTCTCGGCTCCTCCGAGATTTCCCATAGTTCCACTTATCTTCTCTCTATTGATCCCTTGTTGTTCTAAACCCTAATTCAACCACTTATTTATACTAAGAATCCTCCTCACTCTTGGGATCAATTTCCTTAAGACCTCCCACAACATAACAAACTCTCTAGTTTGTTGTCGGTTTTGGTTTTGTATGAACGAGCCAAAACAATTGTGTTTTATGTCTTTGCATTGTGCTTTGCCTATTTTGTTATTTTTGTTGTTCATGTTGGTGCGAGTGCGGGAGTCATAAGCGTATGAGATACAAGTGCGGGTCGATTTTATCCCTCCGGTAATTAATGGACATGAACGAGTACCGGAGGGTGGTATGGTACAAGGCAAGCTTGCTATGGCATAGTTGGGAGGATTCGGATGACAAGTCATTCGAATTGATTTCGAATTGGTCTTTTCGTTCTCATCTCATGTCAATTTAGGTCCTTGTAGGTTTAATTTTGTTTTAATTATACCATCTAGGTGAGTCATTGTAGTCTTTGTACTTTTAATTTTTTTTAATTGGATCCCTGTACCTTCTAATTTCAACTTTAGGATTTTCAATTGTTTCAATTATATCGTTAATTGTTAATTTCAGTTTTGATTTTTTATTCAATCATGTTCTTAATCAATCCTATAATATTTTTTGTATTTCATATCTTTATATTTTTTTGTACTTTTTATTCATTTTCTTTTTCTTCTTTTTTTAGTAATAAAAAAATTAAAGAATAAATAAGATAAAATAAATAAATAAAAAGAATGAAATTGAAGGAAAATATATAACCCAAAATTTGAGTTATGGCAATTTCTTAACAATTATAAGTTTATTAGCTAATTTTTGTAGGGAGTATTAACTTTAACAAACTATTTTTTTAATTAATAAAATAAAAAAATTAAATTAATAGGTCCGATACCCATTTTATTTTGGTTTTAAAACTAAACTGAATTTTGGGTTTTTTTTGGGGGCCAAAAGTCGTCAGGTTAGTCCCAATTGTATATAGACGGCGTTATTTCCTTTTCCCATTTTTCTATCCACTCTTCCCAAACCAAACCCAAACAGAATTTGAAAGAGTCTTACAGAAAATGGCAGCAAATTCTTTCACAAAGCTTCCAAATCCATCTACAACAGCCCATCAACCGCTCAATCATCATCGTCAACACCATACAACAAAACCCAAATCTCTAATGCTACCTCAATCTCTTAAACCCTTCACTTCATTATCATGGCCACGCAAAACCACCACCCACTTGTCCACTCACCGCCCTATCTCGGCCACTGTCCTCTCCAGCCTCCCCACTGCGTATTTTCTCATTATTTCCTCTCTCTATTTGGTTTTCTTTTCTGTTATTTTTAGTGGACTAAATTGCAATTTCAGGCTTTTGCAGGAAGCCTGAGAGATTTGCTTCTTCTTCTTCTTCTTCCAATGAGAAAGTTCCCAAGTGAGTCAATGGATGAATGAATGAATTTTAGTTTAAATGGTTTGCGGAGATGAAGGTAAAATTGATGTTTTCTTTGGTGATGTGAGTGGAATAATAGGTGGTCATGGAGGGCAATAAAGGCATTTGCTATGGCTGAATTGGAAGCTAGGAAGCTCAAGTTTGCTAATACTGGCACTGAGGCCCTTCTTTTGGGTATCTTGATTGAAGGTATTTTCCCTTTTTTTTTTTTTTTAAAAAAAAAAAAAAAAAAAAAAAAAATTCTTATGTATCTGCATTTTCAATTTCTAGCCATTCGTCATTTACCTTCCAAGAATGTGAATTGAATCGTGGTTTTCGTGTTTATCCTTAAATAAAGAGAAATGTCAATGCTTGATTTATTGTTATGTCATAATGGGTATTATGGGTGGGAGTTGAATGAGAGAAAGCTACTGTGAGAACATGGCAAAAATGTTCTAATTTATGTTAATTTAAGGAAAAAAAATGTTTATGTAGACTGTACCATTCAAATTGCTTCGCGCAGAGCTTTGGATAATTCGATTGGTCTGGTCTACATAGATTGATTTTGTGTTACGAATTACGATACTTCTAGTTTATGTTATTCACACAAGTGGAATCCTGTAGTTCTTCTCATATAGTAAAGTTATGACGCATGCTTAAAAAGACTTGCTTTTGTTTCACTGCCCTATTCGCCTTATATTTGTTATACATGGAAGATAATAATGTGATTATGCTAGCTGGTTTGTTGTTATATTAATGTTCTTCTTTGAATCATAGGGACTAGTCTAGCTGCCAAATATCTGTGGGCAAACGGAATTACTGTTTTTAAAGTACGTGAAGAAATTATTAAGTTACTTGGAAAGGCTGACATGTATTATTTCCCTCCCGAGAGGCCTCCCTTGACTGATGATGCTCAAAAGGTCCTCGATTGGGCTTTTGATCATAAACGAAAATCTGGTAAGTTCTGATAATTTGCTCTTTCTGCTTTTGGTTGGTTTTTATTCAATATGAAATATTTTCTTCAATGAATGTCTCATAAATGCAAGCCTTAGTGTTGTAGGAAGTCATGGAAACTCATTAATAGTATACAGAAGATGCAAACAAAATTGATCCTAAGCTTGTGCTTATTGGCCAAGCTCAGGAATTTATGAAAACTAGCCCCTCAAATTTATGATCCGTCATATGTTAGCACACGTATCATGAGTGATTGAATGTTGCCTGTGTTCCATGATTTGATGACATCCTTAAAAGTGGTAGTTTGTGAACTTCATGCTTAACAAATGTAATATATGGTTTCTGTCACCTTTAGAGGCCCTAGTTTTGTAAGTCTTTATATTTGAGAACTAGAATGCAATATCCTTAATAACGTTGCTCAAAACTTTAACCAGACTTATGATGTTTGCAACAGTTGCCAAAGATATTTCGTCATATATTTATGGTACCAAAAAGAAAAGTAAGGTCATGTATAAATGTTTGAACTGCCTTGCTCCAATCTTCTGCTGTTTGTTCGCCATCTTCTACATGTTCTGATTTGCGATGTTGGATTTTTTACCTTTGAATCTGACTGTCATTAATAGATGAAGAAACTAGAAAATCTCTGTGATTGTCTAATCACCACAAATACATGGCTTTCATTATTAGAATCCGTTCACTGAACATCCCTTTGTATCTTTGTAGGTTTGGGATGTTCTATGGATTGCTTCTCTGTTACATGCAATCAATATACTATGCTACCTTTATTCTTGACTGCTATTCTTCCTATCTTGGAAAATGCTCTGCTGTTCTGAGCAGTATTTACACTCTTCAAATTCCTGTTTGAGATCCATTTACATAATTGGTATTGTCTTTTTGGTTGTCCATTTTTTACTTCTTAGCTGGTATAGCAAAGCAATGTTTTTGGTGTATGTTTCATTTCCTGTGTTTTCCTGAATCAAACTTTGCTGGGAACTATTATTTTAAAAGAGGGGGAGAAAAATTAGCTTTAGCTCAACGACGAAAGCTTAAAAAGATTTTCATCAATGTGCCTTTGAATTTACAGGTGATAGCGGAGAAATTACAACAAGTGATCTGCTTCTAGGCATTTGGTCAGAAGTGGAATCCCCTGGCCACAAGATACTGGCTGCCCTCGGCTTCAGTGATGAGAAAGTCAAAGAACTGGAGGCTTCAAGTTCTGGACCTGGGTTTGTAGATGGATGATACCTTCAATGTTCTTGATGATCATTGATGTAATTTTTGTAATTCGACATGGCAGTTTGAGCCTCTTGATTGATATTGCAAACCCCATCATTCATGGATGCCCAAACGAGTCATGTCAGGAATTAACAAAAGTTGGCATCTTATCCTCAGTGAGCTGTGTAAGTTGTATTCTGCACAGATGTGTTCATTGAATATTGGAAAACAAGGAATTCTCTTATATTGAATATTGAGTATGTTTCTAGTTTCATTTTTGGTTTCAGAAACCTTTTTCTTACCATCCATTGCATTATATGATGAAACCATCTGAAGACCAAATTGTAATTGGCCTTCCTTGTAAGAACTGATGATACTAAGAGTTGAAATTAGGAGTGATTTATGAACAGTAAATTGATGAAATGATGCCTTTGAATTACTGGAAGGCTTGAAATTGGATAGGAATCCTGAATGTTAGAAGTTCCACTAGGGAGTTTTGTCAATTGAGTTTGGCTCAACATTTAACTTCTTTTTGTTTTTTTTTCCCCCTCCTTTTTTTGGAGTTGTATCATACTTATTGCAATTATACCAGGAAGCCCAGCATTTATGGTAGGAGTACTTGAAACGAGACACTTATTTTCAATTCATTGTCTTACTGCAGCACCATCAACTGTTTTCGTAATTCAGTGATTCACGCATTGTTTATCATCCTTCTGCAAGTCGCAGGACGCAAGTTTTTGTGCCTTGTCAGCTTCTACTTCCCAATCAATCCTCGCAACGAACACTAGTAACAAAATCAAGCACGCAGCCAATCCAATCAAGAAGCCTATCAACAACCCACCGAGCCCTAGTGCTGCTTTGAAGGCTAAGAGTACTGCTGTTGGCAAGGCTACAAAGTAGAACCCACCAAGATTGGCATACATGCCCAACCATGGCCTAGCTGTTCCCCGGACGATGCCTCCACAAACTACTAAAGGAAAATTTACTATTTCAATCAAAGCCATTAGCAACATCATCTTCTTTACACCTTTTATGATTCCCTGATCATGGCTAAACAGAGACCCCCATGCACCTCTAGCTCCTACCATCACCAAGGCACCAACGCAACCTGAAATGGTGCCTGCTCCCAGAGACACAAATGCAGACTGGTAAGCACGAGCTGCTTGATTTGCACCAAGCTCATTTGACACACGAGTGGAAGCACAAGTTGCTAGTGATACCATCACAGAGAAAAGCAAGTAGTCAAAGTTCAGCGCAATTGCTATCACCCCAACTGCTTGCTTGGCATTTGGTAGTCGTCCTGTAAGCAAGATCAAGATCTCCCAGCACCACCATTCAAGGCAGGTAGTAAGGCAACATGGTGCACAAAGTTTTAGCAACCTGAGCCAGTCATCAACGCCCTGGTCTAACCACCCTCCCTCCCTCCACTTCACTCCTTTCCTGTTTTCCATCATCAACACGTATGAAGCAAGTAAAATCATAACCATAAGATCAGTTATCCATATTGCCATAGTCACTCCCTCAAGACCCTTGGCTTTGGCAAGTAAGATGTTGATCGGGATGTGAAAAGCTAGGCCCAATGCTGAGCTAAACATTATCGGAATTGTTACACTTTGTGAGCTCAAGTAGACTTTGAGAGGACAAAGCAAACAGGTGATTATTAAGTCTGGGAGGAGATAAAAAAGGTAGTTCTTCGCAACACGTGAAATGTCTTCTTGTTGGCCAAAATAGATTAGAATTTTGTCAACGTTAAGCCACAAGAAAGATATAGGGAGGGTTGCTAATAGCAACAAGAAAGTTACCATGAGAAGGGTCTTGTGTAGCAGCCTGAAATTTTTAGCCCCATATGCTTGACCACAGAGAGGTTCCATGGCAGCGCATAGCCCATTCAAGACAGAAAAGCCAGTGACATTAGCAAAAGTGAACCCAAGGGTGCCACCGGCTAACTGGAGCTCTCCAAGCCTGCCTAGAAATGCAGTTGTGATGGCTGTTTTGGAAAACGATGTCAAATTCATTGCCAACAAGGGCAGAGCTATCCCTTGTTGTGTTTTTATCTCCAAAAGAATTATTTGCATAAAATTTGGAGGCCATATTCGGGTGGTCAGTGAAGAAATTGGGGAAGGTTGAGAGGCTTTGTCAATAGGGTTTTCCTCAGATTGAAATGGTACAAACATTATGATTGGGCAAAATGGATTGGTGGGCTTATACCAGATATATAATTTTCTTGAGGAGAGAAGTGTTTCGTGGTCCTTAGGTAAGATAGATTAATATTTTTTTTAGTGCATGGTTTTCGTGAAGGTTTTGGTGTCTAAAGGAGGAGCAAATTGAGGCTTTATGTGACAACCAATCAAGGAGATAGGGTGGTGGATTTACATGTAGTGGGTGATGAGAATGCAAAGGCCAAATCATGCTTACAGATTTGCTTTTAGATATGTAAGACATTCTTTTTCAATTTGGTGTTAATGAAAAAGCTAATGGCTAAAAGAATTGCTGATTGGAGCTTCTACTGTGTAACTGCCAATAGAATTCCCTCCTAAACTAGCTGACAAAAAAAATGTTCGTATTTGGACTATATGTTAATTGACTTGCCAATTATACCTTAAAGCTTGGATATGTTCTGTAACTTTTCATTTCAGAACACCTCCCTAAGCTTGGATTTAGCTTAGCGATTGACTTTTACAATCTTTGTGCGAAAAAAAAAAAAAACATGTCGAAAAATGTGAGAGGGAGATCTGTTTGGTTCGGATGTGTACGTTGTTGATTGCAGAATCATAATGTTTTCACAAGAGATTTGCAATTGTATTGTGTTTTATCTCTTTTTAATAAGAAAAAGAGAAATTCTCATATTAGCAAAGAGGCTAGACTTAAGTATGCATAAATATTGTAGGTGTATTAGTCTGAGATTTTGCCTCCAACGCAGCAAAAAAAAAAAAGGAATCAAGATATGCGTTGTATATGGAGAGAGTATCTAATATACATGCTATCACTTTCGCGTATGCCTTCCTAATTATATTCTTACTGATTTTATTCCCCTTATGTTCCATAACCCGACTTCATTTGACAAAGTGGCCTAACCGACTAATTATCTCCAAGTTAAAATTATTTTATTTTTTGCGTTCCTTCGGAATATGTTCAGTTGATGAAAATTGGATTGTTTGGCATACCTACTACAAAGTCATAGATGCAATAAAAATCGAGAATAATATGGAAAAAAAAAAAAATTGCTTTGTGTTATTCATACAACGGTACACGTAGATATCCTAGCGAGACACAAAAAATTACTATAATAAACAACCTAAACATAATTCTTAAAAAACAAAACAAAACAAAATAAAACAACCTTGGAAAAAAATAGAAAAATATTATTTGAAAATTTTGAATGGAAAAACACCAAAGCAGTTTTATCGAATTTTATAGGTGACTATCTTAAGATACAATTAGATTATTTTCTTTAGACAATACGCACATCGAATTTATCCGATGCAACGGATCAAGGATATGTTTATGTCGTCCCAAGAATAGAAAAAGCTTAATCCCTTTGCCTTTTCTTAAGAAGTTTGCACTACTTGTAAGACTTGTTACTCAATAAAAAACTAGGGTCACTCTTACTCAAAGAAAATTTAACAAAATAATATAGCTTTTTTAAGTGGGAGACAAAAGAAGATAAAAATTAAAAGAAGAATTTTTATCCTCTCTATGCAAAACAAAGGAAATATTCTAATGTTTACTTCTCAATACAATAGAGGAGAAAACAAAATTATTGTTGTTATTGTTGTGTAACTAAAATGGCAGAATATCACACACATATATAATTGAAAAGTAAAGAGTCTGTTGCAATAAAATTAAAATCATGAATTTAAGGTATTAAAAAGCAAACGATACAAATGACAATGTACGCTGCTTTTTTAAGTTACTTTTGTAACTCACAATAACGACTCTTTATCGTTATTACGACGGTTTCAAATAGTACTTATGTACCATTTGAAACATAACTCTTTTTTTTTTTAATAAAAATATATTTTATTAAAAATAATCCAACAATCCTCCACTTACTTTTCATAAAATATTAGCCATATAATTTTGAGTAAGGAAACAAATATAATACATAGAAGGGTGTCAATGACTTGAACCATTACTTAGTATTTCAACAAAATTTTTCTCAAGTCAATAGTGAACATTATTTTGAACTAAGTTTTTTTAAGTAAAACAAATATTGTATCACACATATTATATTCAAGTACTCTATGATGAGTTTTCGAGCCAACACATTAACGAGTCTTGTACTTGATCCCAACTTCTATGAGTGTTCTAGAGAATTAACTCTATTCTCATAAGAAGCGACCGCACTTCCTCAATCATATAAGTGTGTCTATCAAGAATGCTCTCATAACTCTAACATCTCATTTAATAAGAACTATAGATCACATTAAAAGTTTTCTCTAAAGAAGCTTAACCTTCTTTTCGTTATGGTATTCATGCATTTGCACCATAGGGATGGAAAATTAATTTAGTGCATGATAATCAATTACTCTTATGATTCATTTTTCCATTTAAACCTAGATCTTAAGATCTCGAGTCAATTAGGTATGGTATTCTCGTAGGTAGTTTATTTATCTTTGGACTTTAGATCCACCCCCTAATGCTATCTAGATCTTATTTTTGGCTAAAACTTTTAGAAAAAAAAAAAAAGCTAAATTATCTTTTATATTGATATAATTAAAATTTATGGCACTTTTGTTTATAAATGACCTCACAATACTATGTTTTCTTATAACATATCAGGATTTTCCATTATAATATCTATTATGTATAGTTCTAATAGCAACGAGTGCTACCATAATAAATTAAGACAAGTGGTACGAGTTTTTCCCATGTAAGAATTTCAAATAAAAGATCATGTAACCAACATGCTTCATCACCGATTGAGACTAGAGCTATCAATTTTGTCTTCATCATGGATTTCATAATTATTGACTTCTTTTTAGATTTTCAACATATTGCTCCTCCAACTATAATAAAAACATAGCCAATGTTAGATAATGAATCACTAGATAAGGTGTTCTAATCGGCATCATTATACCCTTCAAGTACAAGAAGATACTTTTAATATAATAAACTATAATTCATTATACCTCTCAAGTATCTCATTAAACAAGTTATTGCATTCTAATGTTAAGCATTGGGTTTGCTAGTACCCCAACAATAAAAGCAATATCGGATGTTGTACAATCTATAGCATACTTAAGACTTGCAATAATACTAGCATACTCTTTTTGATAGCAAATGTAATTATCACTTTTTGTTAGAAATAGATGCACAATAGTATCAAAAGGAGTTCTCACAAGTTTGCTATCTAAAAAATTATATTTTTTTCAAAAGGTTTTCAACATAATAAGATTGATAAATAAATATTCCACTTGAAACTCTAAGACTCTCAAGCCAAGAATCATATTTGCTTCACCTAAATCCTTTATATCAAAATTATTTTGAAGTAATAATTTAGTATTATCAACAATGTTCATGTTTGAACTAAAAATAAAAGATCATCTATATATAAGCATATAATCACATGAACATTCTCAAAGGATTTATAATATATGCAGTTATGACTTTCATTTGCTTTAAAACCATTATTAAGTAAACAAGCATCAAATTTTTGATGTCATTGTTTGGGTGCTTGTTTTAAACCATATAAAGACTTTTGTAACTTTCATACCTTATTTTCATTACCTTGTGTTAGAAAACCTTCAGAGTTGATCCATATATATTTCTTCTTATAAATCTCTATTTAGAAAAGTTGTCTTTACATCTATCTCATGTATAAACAAGTTATGAATAACGAGCAATAGCAATAAGCAATCTAATAGATGTTACCATATTTGAAGGAGGAAAAGTATCAAAGAAATCAAAATTTCTTTTTGTTTAAAACCTTTGGCTATTAGTCTAGCTTTGACTTCGTCTATGGACCCATCACGATTCAACTTCTTTTTAAGTACCTACTTATATTCAATTATCTTACAACCAAGAGGTAATTCAACTATTTTTCATGTATCATTTAAAATTAGAGAATCCATTTCATCATTAATAGCTTTTCTCCAAAAAATTACATCATTAAAAGATAAGACTTGTTTTAAAGAAATAGGATCATATTGTATATTATATAAGTAGTAATCAAAACAAAAATCTTTTTCAAATTTGACTCTTTTACTCTTTTTTTTTGGGTTCAAAATCATTTTCATTTTCAAATCTTGAAGAAAAGGTTCGATACTTGGTTGAAGAATCATACCCCTACTATTTTCTAATTTAAAAGGAAATTTGTTTTCATGAAAGATAGCATCCAAAGATTCAATAATAGTTTTATTATCAAAATAAAAAAATCTATAAGCTTCATTATTTAAAGTATAACCCCAAAAAGCACAAGTAGAAGCTTTTTTACCAAGTTTTGGTCTTTTAGGATCGAGTATTCTAACAAAAGTTCAACAACCCACACTTAAAAAAAAATAAATCTAATTTTGTCTTATAACCTTTCCATAATTCATGATGAGTTAAAAATATGATTTTATGAGGAATTCTATTTAACGACTTCAACCCATAATTTGTATATATCATTAGAACTAATAGGCATAGAATTTACCGGATCAATTAGAGTTTTATTCTTCCTTTCAACTATACCATTTGAAGAAGGTGAATATGGAGTCGTAACTTCATGCACAATACCATTAGCTTGCATAAAATTATTGAAACTAACGAGTGCCATATTCCATACCTTTATCACATCGAAGTCTTTTGATCTTTTTACGGAATCTATTTTCAACTTCTTTTAAAAAATTAGTTAATTTTTCAAAAGCTTCATATGGAAAAAAATATGAATATTTTGAGAAGTCATCAATAAAAGTTATAAAATAAAAATTACCACCATAGGTTAGAATATCACTAAACTCATATATATCGGTATGTATTAGTTCTAATAATTTAGTTTTAAAAGCATAGCCTTTTTCAACAAATAGGTCTTTTTTGGAAAGTACATATTGGTCAGCCTTAATAACTCGCTTAAAGCTAGCCTTATTTAAGAAAAAAACTAAAAACCAAATTCTTATGAATTTCAAGTGTATACAACACATCTTTGAGAGTAACCTCTCTTCCATATGTAAATTTGATGAGTACATCTCTAACC